CCTCAATGCGAACTCCTCGATGTTGCCACATGTCGTTTGTTCTTCCTTGGAACCTCCACCCAGGTTTTGAGGCCCAAACCCAGAAACCGTCCACCCAGTGGTTTTGAGGCTTCACCCGCCAAATCGTCTGTGAGTAGTGTACTCCATACGTGTCTCCCGCCATTCAACTCATGTCACCTCCGTCCTCGACTGCCCGGGCACCAAGTCTTTCAAAGCTTTGCTCAACTTGCAAGTTCGTTGTCTTGACTTGGTAAACACGATCACTCCTCCAATTACACTTGTGCTTGTCAATGTCCCCGGATGATAGCCACCATGGCTGGTCACTTGGCCTCCTGGTCCCATAGTCCAAGCCTCACGTCTGTCCTTCACCGCTCCTGGTCCATCGGCGCAGCACAGCCCTAATTGACCTTCACCTCAACGTCGACCCCCGCCTCTGAGCTCCACACCTATGCACCACAAGCCAAGATACATGTTGCACAACCCAACTTACACCATGGTTAGTTTACAAACTCAACCCAAGACATGAATCACATTGATAATCACTCATCACAAATCCAAACCACAAGGGCACATATCAACCTTATGATCACAGTCTCCCCCTTGATGAGTGCATTGTTAACACCAACATATGATAGTAGAGAGAAAAGCACAAAAGAAGAAAAATAGAAAACAAAGAACTCACCCAAATGACCAAAAGCGAAAGAAAAGCCAAACTGGGTCATTTGAAATGAGCAAAGAGCAAAGCTTGGTCCCCAAAGACACTACAAAAAATCTAGGCTTTTATAACAAAATGAAAGTGTCATGGAAAGTATAGAATTTGTCACAAAATCAATGGTATGACGAAAAACCACCATCATGAAGGTCTTCATATAACGACCATCACAAAATGTACCTTATGACGAAAATATGGAAAACTGTCACAAAATGTGATGACCTTTTGTGATGATTTTGTTATGTCATCATATATTGTTGTCATTTAATGATGATTGTGACTGTCACATACTGGTTGGTCAACTCGTCACCTAATACACCAACCATCATGAATTGTGTCCTAGGAACCCTGATTTAGACAACTTATTATGATGATACGATAGTGTCATATATAATTATGTAGATTTTGTGACATTTTCATTTTGTGTTGTTATGTAAGGTAGTTAGAGACATCATGAGATGACTCTAAGTTGTCATAAATTTTCCTTTCATTCGATGACGAACGTGGCTCAAATATATGTATCAATTCAATGACCAATGTCAGACAGATCTTTCTAGCATTCTCATCAGAGCTCATAAAGCATACACATTTTAGTCAAGCCATCATCCACATACATTCCAGAGCATAAGACATAGTGCTTGTAGGTTCAAACACATCACACTAGTTCCAGGTTCCATCACATAGGTTCAAATGGTTCCATCACATAGGTTCAAACATACACACAAATGCAAATAAGTTTGACATAGGTTCTAACAATATAGTGCACAAAGTTCTAACAACAGAGAAAGTTTAGTGTTCTAGCAAGGCAGCAAAAGCTTAGGCAATGGCATCTGTAATAGAACCGACCAAATCATAAGAACGTAAGTACAAAAACAATCACCGAAACGATCAAATTCCTATACTTAAGCTCCCATAATCCCGGTAGTCCGGAAATCATGAAGGATTTCAACCAACTCTCGACATACAGACCAACACCGTAGTGATTCAACACAACACATCATCCGTTACAACATTTCATAAGTAGCATTCGGATTACATCCATCAGAGTGCGAATAAAATATTACAAACCAGGTTCAAATTTGCGGAAGCAACATAGTTTAGTACATAACTTCATAGTTTCAAATACATTGCCAAGTTTGAGTCATGTCCCACAAAAGCATTATCAGGTACGAGAACTAGTAGTGACCGCACCCAACGGTCTAGTCTTCATCCCCAGCTGGGAGAAGGCAGTACTTGCAGCAACCAAAGTAGAACTGGTCATCTGCAACAGGTGGGAGATAAACCCTGAGTACGAGAAGGTACTTAGCTAGACTTACCCGACAAAACCAGAAATAAAAGACACCAAGGATCATGCAAGGCTTATGAGGTGGGCTAGCTTGACACAGTTGCATAAAAGAGCTTATGAATATAGTGACCAATTTAAACTTAGCATCAAGCTTATCATCATTTACCTGTCCATTAGATTAGCACCTGTACTAGAGCACTCACTTATTAGGAGCAAACAATATTAACCATAGTAGGTACAATAAGGCTGTCATCATCATATCATCATTTCCAAACCATTATGTTATTAAGTGTATCTACATTGGAGATAAGCCCGTCAAGTTCTCACTAACCGGGAGAGACGGTGACTCGAATCGAATTACAACTCAGCTAAGGGGGTATTCCTAACTCTCACCCTAGCATACTTAGCAAGGGCAGCCATGGGTCACCTTTAGAACAACTCAGGAACCAAATTCACGGGTTCGATCAGCGCCAGCACTCTCAGGGATTACCCTTCTGCCAGGACGATCAGGACTTTTAAATCACCTGCCCTTGGACTCACGCCTACGGCTCCCTTCCGAGGCGCACTTTATACTTATCGACTCCCGGCTTGAGGTGAGCTACTCGGCTTTGCGGTCGGTCTTCAGACACGACCAACTAAGAGAGAGGCATGCGTTCAACATGAATAGGAAAGGCTCCAAGATTCAGTCCTTAATCGACACAGACGGAGTCACTACAAACCGGCAAGCCTCCGTGCGGTCTTCATTTCAAATTAAGACTGGTTCTTTTCCACGATAGCAAATATAGCCAACCGTGCCATATGTATCTTCCTATATCTCACAGGTGATAGGAAATCACCTGACTTCTACCGTGTTTAAGCAGGGCTAAGCACTACATGAGCCTGAGCTACATAGGATTCAGGGTATCAATATCTGGACAAGGATTGGATAACCAATGCAGCAACTGTTTGCATCCAACACCTAAACTTAATGCAACAATATATATATGTAACAATAATATTGTAACTACATTTCAAAAATTAGGAGGCTTAATATGCTCCGGGGCTTGCCTTTCACAAAGTTGCACGGACGGTGATCCGGGCACTCAACGGCAACCTCGTCTGGCACTTCTCCTGAAGGCTGCTCCTCCTGAATCTCCGGTGTCGGCTGCTGCTGCTTGCTCGGTTCCTCGAATTCTAGCAGGGTCACTCCTTCTGGTACACCTATTGCATGCCGATGCACAAGATAAATATCATGGATGCATAAGGAATGACATGATGCTCATGATGAATGGATCACAGTAAGTGTTTAACGAAAACATTACTGGACACTCGTTTATCGATTAAGAATAGCTCTATTCAAATCATTTTAAAACAGGTATCTAACTTAACTTGAAGAACAAGATCAACTTACCTAACTTGCATAACCTAAGATAAAGATGCTCATCTTCAGTTAAAGGCCTAACACATAGGAACATTACCACAAACTTAGAAATAGTAAAGGCATACTTAAAACAACAGTTAAAGCTTCATATGCAAACGGGTAGTTCCTTAATTCAATCACAACAAGAGTTCTACAAATCCAAATGACTTGCAAGAGGACATTCTGGAACGCTTATGAAATTATCTACAAATAATTTGTAAACATCAAAGCATGATTCAACCCTTTACCAGGTCGAATTCTTTGATCAACAGAACTCTGTCCTCACAAGACAGAGAGTAAGCAAAACTAGAATCCTGACTTTAAACAGCTGTAGTTTCTAAACTACTACGCCAAATGCCCTCAAATTTTGACAGGAGCTAGATACATAAATTATCCACAAAATTTCATAATTTTTGGACCATAGAAACTCAAGATAAAATTCAAACAAGTTTGCATGCATCTAAAAACACATCTCAAAGTCCTATTTAATTCATCCAAAATTTCTAAAACATGTGCTCATATAATATTTTTATTAAATACTAGAAATTATCATGAACTCAGAAAAATTGGAACTACATCATTTGAATCTACCATCTAAGAGCTACATATTTTTGAATATGTACACAAATATGTGAAATAAATAAAACAAAACAAAACAAGAAATCCTACTCTACTGCTGGGCTGGCCCAAACTGATCCGGCGGCCCGCGAAGCCCACGCCCGCATATGCCAGCGCGGCCCAGAAGCAGCGCAGCCCAGGTCAGGCTCCCGCCTCAGCAGCGGCGACTGACAAGGGGAACCCGCATGTCAGCGAGAGAAACAGGGGAAGGGAGGAAGACGACGGCGCAACACGTCGACGGTGGCATCTCCGGCGAGACCATCGGCGCTACTGTGTTCGCCTCACCCCTGCGCATCTAGAGGACCCATTTATTGCAATGATTGCAGCGGCTAGAGGGAGTGTCGATGGCCATGGCGGCGCACGGCCATGGCTTGGCTGGCTCCGGTGAGACCCGACCCTATTAATGGCACATAGTTCCTTATAATTGGAATACACAGAAAGCAATAGTATCCATACCAGGCTGTATCGATGGCAATATAGTACCTAGATCTAGTCCTTTGGTGAAGCTACACTTGGCCTTAGTTTACTTTATACTTAGCACATTTCTCCTGCACCACAAATGCAATATAGAGGTTTCATTCACATGCACACTTTGCATTGCATATTAACAAAAGCAGATAATGCAGACATGGGCCTAATTCTTTGGGTCACCCCAGTACTCAACCAGCTAGATCCATTCCTCTTTCTTCATTTTAGGTGGAGGTTCTTTGGCCAATAGATGTTCTCTTGTCAGTGAGTCATCGAAGTACTTCCTTTTAAGGTGATACCCTTTGCTGCCTTAGTCCCCTCTTAATGATATCAGTGCATGCAGCCTTGCTTGGTCCCTCATTCCTAACATCCACATCCAACCTTGACTGAAGCCACACAAATGAATTATTAGACACAATTTTCACATGGGAGTATTATAATGCATGAAAATATTTGGAAGAATGAAATAGCTATCTCACCGCCACTTTCCCAAGCACTTTTGATACTTCTGCCTACCCCTACTCATTATCATATTCTTTCCAAGATGTGTAGATAGGCAGGTTGTCTCTAAGGACAACACCACATTTAGATTCCAGCCTTGCTACTTGAAGTGGGACCTTAGGTCTTTTCTTCCCTTCAGCAACCTCGATAGCCAGCTTCTTTCCTCTATTAATCATCTTCTCTAAGCCATGACCCATGGTTTTCTTGAGGACATTCTTTGTGGGCGCTGCATTGGAAAATAATAATAGAAATGTTTTATTATAGCAGTAGCAATTGTAGATATTGAATGGAGAAACTAATGCTTGGAAACAAATATTGTTTACCTAGAACTGAGTCATGGACTGGTTCTCCTTTAGTTGTATGACCCTCTAAATTAGCAACATCAAATTGCTTAGCTGACTCATTGATGCCATTGCTTTGCCTAGAGCTTTGTCCATCTGGTGAGTTGTCCGTGGGAACTGTTCGGTTAACACTGTTTGTGGGAGTAGATTGCTGAGACAGGTTAGTGGTGGGGTCTCGTAGGAATAGGCATTGTGTTTGCACTAGGCGAAGACATGGCTGCACTAGCCCTGGTGAATCTAGGAGGACTAGGCACTGTGTTTGGACCAGGCGAAGACATGGTTGCACTAGTCCTGGTGAATCTAGGAGAACTAGGCACTATGTTCGTAGTTTCTATGGTCTGGCTGGTGCTTGTAGTGAGATGGCCTTGCAAATGGCTACTACTAGAAATGGCATTTGTATTAGGGTTGGCTTTCATATTGTTCCTAGTAGGCAAGTTCTCTCTTGGCCTAGGTGGTGGATGGCCTACAATGATCTTAGTGTTTATACCAGGCGAAGACATGGCTGCACTGGTGTTGACGGTAGTTACCATCCATCATAAACCATCAATAAAACATGTATAAGTGCATAAATATGGTCACCAACATAGACTTAGGGGTTTAAACTAACAATTTCCATGAGTTTTGGTGAATTTGTGTTTTCTTCAGGGTTTATTCAGAAAACCATCAAGGTGAACCTACATGTCGGGATTAATTATGCTTATCTACAGTTAAACAGACACCAGAAGGTTCCAGAAGACTCGAGAGGACTCCACACAAAGGCAGAGCCCAAGTGGCTACCAGGTTGGGCCGGCCAGCCCCACCTATAGGCCACCTGGCCCCCTAGGGCCCACATGTCAGTCTCCATTGTTATGTTGGTTCTCCATCGCCTCCTAGGTTGCATCTACGCCTTTTATTCAAGCCGGTTTGATTCGAGGGCTCAGGATTGATGCTTCGGCCTATATAATCAGCCCTACCCCCTCTGGAGCACGCTGCCACAAGTCAAGATCAGACCAGAAATTAGGGTTTCTAGAGAGAAGAGAATAGAGCTCCAATTCTTCAAGTTCCTAGTATAGGCTAGCTAGCAAGGTTCAAGTAGAGTGTGGGCTATTGCTTAGGATTCTGGATCTACCGTCTGGAGACTAGTATAGCCATTATATCTCTTTATTTATGACTTTGTGCTACTTCACTATTATCTTGCTATTTATTATGTTTCGTGTTTGCTCTAGTTATATACTTGATATAGTTGTGATTGATAATGAGTATATGCATATGTTCGCAAGGCGCTTAGGCCAAGACGCGCGTTGTTTAAGTGGTCGACATTATGTAAGCACGGTGCTTAGATATTGTTTACCTATGGATGCATTCTGCATTCTGGGCCATGTGGTAGATCGCCGATGTGACACTCTCGTTAAGTCCTTTGTAGTCCACTCCCCGTAGAGCAAGTAGAACACGGTTGCGAACGAAGAAAAGCTCTATTCTTGATCTTCCTTAGTAATGTTCCTTATGCATAGATCCAAAGTTAATTATGCTATAGATGAGAGTGTATATGCTTGGGTGTACAAAAGACTTAGTAAATAAGAATTGACTTAGGAATCTTTTGCTCTTACCGAATCTCCTACCTAGCCATACTACATTTTATGAGTCTCTATTTCTATCTCTAGAATTATTATCAATGCTTCATACTTATCATTTATTTATCATTTGACTCACCCCAGCCATAGCATGAGAGTGGCTTTACCATAAGTATATATATTTGTCAATATATCTTTGCCAACAATCCCATAGCTCCTCCCTATGGATAAAATATAAATAATGATACTCGGTATACTCCCGGGTGCAATGCTACAATGGTATATTATCTGTGCGCTTGTAGATACTTTACTTTAACATATATAATTTTCTCTATGTTTACAACTGTCATTAATAATTACCAACCATGCATTTCTAGCATCATGCTAGGGATGACAACCTAGTACAGAGTGATGCTAAGAAATGTCAACAAGCATTTCTGGCGCCGTTGCCAGGGAGGGGCACATGGCTATAGAGAATTGATCAAATAAATACTTATTGATAAAACCATAACAACTCTGCTTTAGCAGGCTTACCCTTCTTGTCAATGTTCATATTCTATAGGGTATTGATAAAACCATAACAACTTCCAATTAGAATCAACCTAATCAAGAGGAAGCTCAACACCAGTTTCTGAGCTATGGCTGACAAAACTCTACGTGAGTTCTCTAGTCCGAGCATCGAGAACATTTGCACTGGACCAACACTCAAAACCAACAACCTTGAGTTCGAGCTCAAGCCAAGCCTCATCAACATGGTGTAAGCTACCCCATTCCGTGGAAAGGCACATGAAGATGCTAGGGCTAATCTTCAGAAATTTCTAGAGATTAGTAGCACAGTCGTCATCAAGGACGTTGCTCAAGACATCATACTACTTCGCTTGTTCCCATTCTCACTATTGGGAAGAGTGAAGCAATGGTTCTACACCAACAAAGACAACATCAATACATGGGCAAAGTGTTCAAAGGCCTTCCTAGAAAAGTTCTTTCTAGTGGGCAAGAACAATGCCTTAAGAACAAAGATTTCCAAGTTCCAACAATAGAAGGGAGAGACCATTCTAGAAGCATGGGACATTTCCAAGAATATATTTTAGATTGTCCTCACCATGGAATGAAAGATTGGTTGCTCATGCAAAGTTTCTACCATGGATTAAGTCAGAAAGCTCATGAATAATTCGATGCCACTACTGGAGCATCATTTATGTCACTCACCCTTGGAAAAGCTAAAACTCTTATGGAGAAGATAGCCTCTAATCAAGGCTGGTCATCATGCAACATCCAATCATGCAATAAGAGTGAAGAAGTACTAGAAGAGGTGTGTGCATTGTCAACCAAGATGGACGTACTATTGAATTGGCTCAAACAGCGGCCCAATTACAAGAGAGATCATTAGGCCATTCAAGATGCTTTCAATGCTCAAAACACATGTGGAGAATATTTGGGGGTTGAATTCCCCAAATATCAAGAGGATGTAAACATCATTGGCAACAATTTAGGTCCACAACAATAGAGACAAGGATGGAATCAACAACAATGGTCAACTTACCAAGGTAAGTACTCAGGTAACAATTATAATTCTTTTAATTCCAAGCAACCATCCTTAAGTGACTTAATCTTAGAACAAGCTAGGATTAATGAGAATATCTCTAAAAAGCTTGCTTTTAATGATAAGGTCCTTGAAAATATAAATACAAAAATGGATAGTTTTTCTTTTGTCATAAAAGACCAACTGAGCTATAATAAAAAGATAGAATCTCAATTAGCCCAGTTGACTATTACTCTGGCTTTTGCTACGAATCTTGAAAAGGTCAATGCTATAACCACAAGAGGTGGCAAGTCTACTTGTGATCTACCGTATCCGATAAGGATAGGTAAGACACAAGTGGTAATGCAGGAAGTGGAGAAGAGAAATGATGAAGTTGAAGAAGTTGTACCTCAAGAGCGAGAATTACAAGATTTTTATGACACTATGTTCCTACCGTTTCCATGCCGAAATCAAAAAGCCAAAATGGATGAGTAGTTTGGTAAGTTTGTAGAGGTAATTCAAAAATGATATATCAATATTCCTCTACTAGATGCCGTGTAGGTTCCCACCTATGCGAAGTACATTAGAGACATCCTCAACAACAAAAGACATCTGCCCACCACTAAAGTAATCAAGTTGATGGAGGAGTGTAGTGCGGCCATCCTAAATACATCACCTGTCAAGAAGAAGAATCCAGGGTGTCCCACTATCGATTGTTCGATCGAAAGATAGAACTTTGAGAATGTGTTATGCGACCTTGGAGCAAGCGTTAGTGTCATGCCCAAGAAGATCTTCGATAAGCTCAACTACTCAACACTTACACCAGCATCGATGTGTTTACAACTAGCCGACCAATTGGTCCGCTACCCAACAGGAATCGCCGAGAATATCCAAATAAAAATACAAAACTTCTTTGTTCGTGTGGATTTTGTAGTACTTGATATGTAGGAGGACATGAAGACACCTCTCATACTTGGGAGACCCTTCTAGAGTACTACAAATGCGCACATTGATGTCAGAACCAGAGAAATCAAATTCTATATCAATGGCAAGGAAGAGCGATTCACCTTCAAGCCAAGACCAAAACAATGCTCCAAGTTGGAATGGTGTGAGAAGCAAGTATCAGGGTCTCCGAGACCTACTGGCGCACCTAAAGAATAAACCCAAACAAAGAAGTCCGCTTTGGTGGACTTAAAATAATGAACCCTCGCCGGAAAGTAACTTGGTAGTTATCTATAATCATTTTTTGCATTATATTTTACTATGTCGTATTTACGTTTCAACACTTGCATTATAAAACTAAAATAAAAAATTCTTATCATGGCATTATAAAAATTCAATCCGCTTGTGAGAAATATTTACCATGGAGGCGTAAAAACTCCGTGAGAAATATTTACCTTTTAGGCATAAAAAATTAAAAATACCATCATTCATCTTCTTATATTTCATAGTATTATAAAATATTTTTATTTTGCATTTATACGTGTGTATACGGTAAAAATACGGGAGACACATGGGACCCACTCAACCACCACCCATCACCTCATAACCACTACCCATCACTTCTATCTCCACTCAACTTCCATCACCTCCATCTCCACTCTGCACCGTCCAACTCCACCCTCCACCGAAAGAAGCCGATATTTTGCTTAAGCAGTAAGCAAAGAAGAGTCAAGAGGAGGATGAGACCATTTGGCCACAATGTGAGGCCGGTCGGCCCCACCACTTGCCTGGCCGGCCTACTGCTCTCTCGGCTATAAATAGCCACCCTCTTGGTGCTTCAC